TTACTTCTGGTGTTGATCAGGTGTCGATATCATCAGCACTGGCGCCCGCGAATGGCTTGTTGACCTCGTCATTCTCAAGTCCCGTGCATGTTCGTTCTGTTCATCTGTGGTCACTGCAGTGCACTTTGACACAGATTGGTCACTGAGGTCATCGTGACCTACATCATCATCCGTGCTCCCAGGTGTTTCTGCTTTCTGACCAGGGCCTCCTTTGAAAACCAAACTACGGGAAATACCAAAGCTTCACATTTGTCAACCTCATGGATCTCGCTGTTTCGCAAGCAATCTTTGGTGTATGAATTGATGTGCAGTTCAAGGCGTCCTGACAGCAAGTCTAGGGAGTGTCTAACATCCGCAGTGGCGTTCTTGGATAGAAGTTTTTCTTTGAAGGCGACTTTCAGTGGAGCCGCCGCAATTAGATTGCCGTTGGACTTCATGCGATAGGAAGTGACGGAGTTGAAGGGAATGGATGGACACTGGCTTGTACAAGATATTGATGCCAAATGTGCAACTCATGCCATGTGGTATAACTCGTTTCCTGTGCGGCACTATAAGCTTACTGCTGATGCACTGTAATCCGAGGCTAAGTAGGTGTGTAGGAGTCATGGACGCTTGCTAGGTAGGTATTACACCTCTGTCGGCATATAATTCGTTAGCGTGGTACCGCCACTCTACAATATTCAGGGCATTGGAGGTGAGCAAAGTGGACATCTTTTGTAAGGAGAATTAAGTTATTGCCACTACCTCAGTTCACCGCGCTAACGTTTTAAATGCCGGAGGAGGTGTACACCTCTGCATGGATATAAGTCATTAGATCGAGAATTGGCAAAGTGGCGATAACCTTGTTTTCCGTACAGAAGATAGGCCTTTTCAACGCCTCCCAATCCCTGAATACTGTAGAGTGGAAGTACCGAGCTAATGACTTATATCCATGCAGAGGTGTAGTGGGCAATCCTTCCACGGGGACGGGCAAGCGTCGGGTTCATGCTGTGACGCACCGGGCGAGATCGAAAATCTTGCTTCCAAAAAAGGTCAGCCTCACGACAACCACCATCTTTCGCCCATCTTCACATTCGACATCCGCACCAATTGAACGCAACCTGCATCACCGCTCTCCGAACAACCCTCCGTGCTGCTGCTGCCCCTCTTCCCCTCCCGACACCATCAACACCTCCAACCTCGTCTACCGAACACCAGCGACTGTGCAAATCCAGCTGCACAGTCAGGCGCATTGCCACCAGGGTTCACTCAAAAGTCCTTTATGCACCAAGGCTCGACTGAAACTTCTGTATCGTTACCGCGAGATCCATATCCAATATCTTCCGGCCAAACTGTCCAACATGGCTCGCCTCGCTCCCAGCCAAGCTCACCAGATGATGCCTCTCCTCATGAGAGCATCTTCGGTGGAGATGTTGCTTCTAGCAGCGACGACGGCCACCGCTTTGACCACGACTTTGGCCGACTGAGGGCTGCCGACTATGCCTCTGCCGCCCAACCTGTCATGACTGCTGGCCAACGCATCGCTGAATACGAAAGCGCCTTACTGCTGTCCCGACATCACGCTCCGCATACCGTAGCCTTCCAAGTTGTTAAGAACACTTCATCCTCTCCGGGCTGCGTCAAGTTGGCAGATTTCCCCAACGGTATGTCCGTTTGGGTAGCGTGGTTGATATTTTCGCTCGTAGCTTACAAAAACTCTCCCAGAAATCCTGACCCATATCCTATCGCATCTGCATCCAGATTCTCACGGAGACGTCGCTCTGGTCTCGAAGCGCTTTTACCACCTCGTTGCGGCCCCCTATGCCTGGCGGAGAGCCTTTCTGCGCAACTTTCCTGGCCAAGAATCGTTACTCTCGGCAAAGAACAGGAGCGAGTTCGCCAACGAAGATGGAGAGCTGGACAGAATACGCTCCGAGTCTCGGTACTTTGCCAGACTGAGCGCCATGGCTACATGGCGTAGCGAGTATCTTCTCCGCACTCGGCTGCTCCGGAGTGTGTCCCGCGGAAAACCCGACGGCTCCTCGAACCTTTCGATCCAGTCTGGAAAGAAGGCAGCCGCCGTGTTGACATATAGCCCAAGGCTCACCTGGATGGTCACCCATTTGCACGCCGTATTTTCCGGTAATCGCAATGGGCCGCGTGTGATGCATGGTTCCAGGGATATCGGAGTGGCATCTGTCGGCGATCCTACTACCGGTAAAATCGACAAGCTGGGTATGGATGACCAGTTTCAGTTTCAGCAGCTGGACGAAGTGCATCCCGGTCTCGTGTACTATGGAATGGGCGACGGGGCGGCAGCGGTTCCTAACGTCATCGACGTTAGCCAGCCCTATGGTCTCATCGGCGCTGAAGCGTTTCCTGGTGGTCGGGTCTACTTCAAACCACAGGGTCAGCTGCGCGGCCGATTTCTGGGAATCGTACCAGAAACTGTGGACGACGAGCCTGAGATACCCAAGATCCCAGAGCTCTTGGATGCCGTCTGTTCTGTTTGGATCGCAAAATCGCCCAATGTACCAACAGCAACCGACTCGATGATTGGTATGTTTACTGGCTCAACGCTCGGCATAGTGACCGCCTATACCCTTGGTTATGAAATCTCGGGTCGTCGCGCCGGCAACCGCGTTGGCGAGATCACCGCGCGCTGGGTGCTCTGCCCGGGCGTGCCCATTGTAGACATTAAGGTCGATGACAACTACAACCTGAGACGCAAAGGCATGAACAGAGTTTGGGCTGTTGCGCTGAATGCCCTCGGAGAAGTCTTCTATTTGATCCAGACGCCGGCACCTTCTTCGACTCGTGGAAAGTCGACAACTCTGCTTAAGGATGCCTGGGATGCCGGACGCACTGCTTATTGGGAGATGATCGAAGCAACTCGGCGTGTTGCCACACCTGATGACTGCAACAAAAATGCAGCTGATGGTTCATACACACCGCGCTCATCGGCAAATTTCATGAACCTGAGCAGGGCACAGATCGTTGCTGAGGCCCGAGAGATAGAATCTTTCTTGCGCCGCAAACCATCTGATTTCCGGAGGGTTTGCTTAGGCTGGGATATGCAACGGAGACTCGAAGTGGACTTTGCTGCCGGCGATGAAAGTGGCGGCGAGGCCATTTTCAAGATCGATTGCGGTTTAGAGGAGAACGTGCCCCCTGCCGTTCGGAGATATGTCAGACACAAGACTAGCCCGGTGATCAATCCAGAGAAAGTTGCGGCCTTGCTGTCTTCAGCACCTAAAGCCTCTATCTTTGGAGGTGCAGAGACGTCAAACAGCTTGGATTGTATCTCTCAGTCTACCACCAGCAATGGAGAAAAGCCTTCAGCCATTCAGGCTTCAAGCGGATCACCCTCGACCTCAGCCACGCCTGCAGGAGACACGATTAACGGTTGGTCTGTCACCGACTACAAACTCAAGATACCTCTAGGGGCAGAAATCACCGCCAGTGCTATTGATTTGTCTACCTATGCTGTCATGGCAGCATTTGAGGACCCTCTTTGCTTCGAGCATGATGGAAGTGGTGACACGTCCAAGGAGATTCCTGGTCGTCGCGCCCGCTATCTTGCTGTAGGAACCAGCACCGGCGCAGTGAATGTGTGGAACACGAGAGATCAGCACTCTGCCCATACGGTCAAGCCTTTGCGGGTCATTCAGACCGACTCACCCGCTATCTCTAGTCTTGCCCTTTCGGCTCTTTATCTACTTCACGGCGGCACTGACGGCGTGGTCCAGGCATGGGATCCGTTGGCTTCAACACATGAACCTATCCGAACCCTCAATGCAAAGATGTCGGGCCGGATCCCTCGTCCCATTCTCTCTCAGGCTCCTGCAATGGAACGAAATGTCTACTCTGCTGTTCGCGCCATCTTCTTGGATCCCGATCCGACTGTCCTTCGAGGCGTGTCGGCATGGGGCAACAACATCAGGTTTTGGTCTTATAGCTCTACAAATCAAACCCCCGGTCGGAAGCGACGTCACCGACATAACGATGTACATGGCCGGCTGAGCAGCCGTAGAACCAGCCATCACGTCTCTGGCTTTATTGCTGCGGAAGAGGCGGAGCTTATCCATGAGGAGGAGACGCGCACTCGCGAGATGGCTCGGCTCCGTTCGCGGTTCGGACAAGGCTTGGCAGACATGACCGAGGAAGAAGCACTTCTTTATGCCCAAATGATTTCCGAGGAGGACTTCATCAAGCAAGAGTCGGTTCGGTTGGCAGCTGAGGCAGAGATGGGATCGACTATTGATGAAGAATGGGAAAGGTTGCCGTCCACGGGGAGCAGCGCTGATCAGCTTACACCCGAGCCTAGCCTTCCTGGCGCTAGCCCGAGTGTGACGGGAAGCGGTGCGAATCTCGCGACTGCCAATCAAGAGTCAGAGGAGGAAATGATCCAACGGGCTATTCGCCTGTCACTGCTTGAAAGCAACGGCAGCGTAGATGGTGTTGTTGCAGTGGAACCGGCACCGGCACCAGAACCAGTAGCAGCAGAAGCAGAGCAGTACCCCCCTCGCAGCCCGAGCCCCCTACCCGAGTTCTCCATCAAGGTGAAGCCCTTGAAGGGCAAAGGAAAGGGCAAGCAACCTTCTCTCGCGACTGGGTCTTCCTCGTCCCACAGCACGCCGGTCATTCCCTTTTCCGAGACCGGGCACAGCAACGACTCGGCCTTCGGGCGAGATCCTTCCGACATTGCCTACGATACCGTCCCGGCAGCAGCAACTACAAATGTCACCTCTGGCACTGATATCGATGACGATCTGGCTCTTGCTTTGCGACTGAGCTTGGAGGAGGAACAGGCTCGCCAGCACCGGATGGCACATCTGAACGTTATGCCGATGGTTTCTGATGTTCGACACGCGTTGGAGAACTCGGAAGAGTTTCCGAGGTTGGATGTAAAGGGGAAGGGGAAGGGGAAGATGATCTGAAGGGATTACGTGGTCAATGTGATGCGATGTTGATAGGTTTGCAAGTTGCTATGTAGTGAGTGCTTGGAGAGCTGCGAGTTCATCTCACCCTATTTGGCTTTGATCATACCGCCCTGGAGCATCTTCAGGTTGGCAGATCCTGGGGTACTAGCGTTATTGTCTTTTGGCTGTGCTCTGTGAGGTAGAATAGAAGCGCAGAGTTGTTTGAAGTCTATCCAGATGTCTTTTTGCATGATCCAACATGAATTCGAGGTGGTGTCTCGCATGTGCACCTTCCTTTTCCATTTTGACAGGCCTCCAAGCGGGTGTCTCGCCCGCCACGAAAGCAGGTGGGAAGGAGCTGAATCAAAGCGTGCAAAGTGAAGTCCTGGCGTGTCACGGTGACGCAGGCAGGCACGATTAGCTTTCGTTGTTTTTCACTCGTCTGCTTGCTCGACATTAGCCCCATAGGGATCGCGTCCAATATCCAATTTCCCTATCTTGGTTCTTTTGCTTCACCATCTCCTCACAATCGGTTCACCATTACACATGTCTCAAAAGTTCTTGTCTGCCCCCCGATCTTACCTCGTCCCTTGTCTAGATCGTGAATGCACACATATTGCTGCCCTCGAGTGTATGTGTTACAAGGAACGAGTTCACAGGCATGCCGTACGACCCGCTGTAGCTGAAGCTATACCTGGTGTACCTTGTCCTCAGAGGGATAGGTCTCATCAAATCCGATCAGACAAAAGGGAGGGCAACCTGGATGGTGTTGTTAGTTGAAGGGATTCGAATTCAAGAGACGCAAAGGCGGATCGTTCCAGCACTGCCTGCTCAGGTTCAAGTTATGGTGAGATGGGGTTTGAGTTTCACACAAACAAGCACTACCTTTCTTCCTACTTCGAAGTTGTAAAATGGAGCTATTCGTCAAAAATTTTACGTCGTCTGAAAAGAATGGGTCACAACCAAAAAGTGTGGACGAAGACGCTCCCCAGAAACCAGGCGTTCTCAGACGGTTTCTCACTTGTTTAAATAAGCTTTGCCTCGGTTGAAAGTTTGCAAACTTAGAAAAGAAAAAAAAAGAAAAAGGAAGATCAGATTAAAAAAAAAAAAAAAAAGATGGAGATAAGCCATGGTGAAAAAAAATTAAAAAAAAAAAAAAAAAAAAATTTTTAAAAAAAAATTTTTATTTAAAAAAAAATTAAAAAAAATTTTTTAAAAAAAATTTAAAAAAAATTATTGTTGGAAGTGAAGAAAGAGAAACAAAATAATGAACAGTCAACAGTTTCCAAAGCGCATAAATGCCTATTTAGAGCTCTGAAACGCAATGCTATGTATCACTTGGGGACATATGCTAAGGACGGATCGCTTCTAGTTGGCATGTAGCTATATGGACTTGAATGCCTGGACACTCAAACAGAACACCACCATTCACGATCGTTTTGCTTGTAAAGTAGCGGGGTTTAAAGCTTCAGAGGTAAAAGTATGATGTCCTCTTGACCGAAGTGGTTATGGGAGGCGTCACTGTTTGGAGGCATTCGGGTCTATGTTGGTAAGGAAATGCTGACGCTTCTCCGTTCGCGTTGTTTCCATAACTAAGGAACAAGTCAAACAAGATACCAAAAAGGATACGATTGCAACAGCCATGGGCTTCATCATACCCATATAATATTGGGCACTGCTGGTCGACATTGCAAGTGGTCATGCTTCTGTTCAACGAAGAGACCAAGTTTATATGCACACAAGGATGAGATAGATTAACGTTCAGGTCTTTCACCGTGATTAGCTTGGGTGATATAGAGCCTGCAATCAAGCAATATTAACACATACGACCACAGATGGTAGAAAACTCGGGATCCCGTCCGCTCTCCCATAGATAAGCTACCAATCGCCTGACTAGTAGTTGGGTCGGTGACGACCAGCGAATCCCAGGTGTTGTATGTTTTTTTTTTTCCTGCTCTTTGCTGCCATGTATCTTTAGCTGTTGTGAGATCCCTTCTGTTAGAAGTTGGCGAATATCGTTTTCTCCTTCTCTGACCGATGTCAACGGCGTTCGTGATGCGTTGATCTGCAGCCCGTGAAACGAGTTGAGCTTCCACTAGCATCGGCGCTCTCAGCCGCCCAGTAACAGTGGCAATGACATCACGACCTTTCTATCATTGTCACCACTTGTATAAGTCAAATAATACAGACAGCAATACATTCGTGATGACCCGCCACTCTCACCATATGAACAGCGACCAATATTGAAAAAGACAACTTAATACACATAACCCAAGATGTCCCGTCTCCTGACCCGCCTTCCCAACCGTGCCCGCCTGCTCCCTATGGTTCCCAGACGAGCCATGGCTACGGAGCTCGGCACCTCCAAGTCCCCGCAAAACGGACAAAAGGGCTTCGTGTCCGTTGGCTCGCAGGCACAGGGTGATTCGCCTTCTAATCAGGGTCCTACAGAGGTGGGTTTTATGTTTTCAAATCTTATGTTTGTTTTGGCGGGTAGCCCTCTATCTGTCTGTTTGTCTCGCTGGCTGTCTGGGAGCAGCTACGTATCGGCTGTTTGTTCTTTGTGATATGCTGAATGATGTTTGTGCTAATGTCAACTGGGCATCTAGGCCGGACAAAAGCTCCAGAAGGAGAGCAAGGGCAAGCCGGATGGAATGAAGGGAGATTCGGAGGAGGCGAGGGCCGCGGGAGGTGATCAAAAGGCTGGGACTTCTGGTAGTCAGAAGTAAGGAGGCGGGTGTCGAGTGGGATGAAAAGAGAGTGAACATATGGTGACATGGGAGGAAATTAGCAATTATACGATATGCGCATGGTCTGATGCGGTAAGGAATCGATGATTATGGAATGATACTTGGTTGAGAATGGATGTTCTCTGACTTTGGTTATGTGTTGCCATGCAGTGGACAGAAGGAATAGCAGGCTCGAGATTATGATTTGAACTAGGGAAGGGGACAAGTTTCTGGCTAAGCCGATGAGGTTGGGCGAGGTGGATGAAATTTAATATTTGCTATGCGTAGATAAAAGTAGTTTGGTTGAAAAGTGGTAAATTTCAACATCATTTCCACCGACTTTCCCATTTACTTGCCACCGGAAAGCAGCCAGTTGAGAGTCATAATAACCCCGCCTTCCAAGGCGAATGTTGTAGCAACAACAATATAAAATGCAACCGTTATCCCAAGGACCTTGAGGTACATTTTAACCAGTCTAGTCCAGCCTTCCCTCCCGAAAGTGGTCAAGGCGTCCCTCATGGTCAAGAATGTCTCGCTGCCGCCACCCAGCACCGCTGGGTCCAGCTTGCCTTTGAAGGACCGGTCAAAGGGGACGATGGCATCTTCAGTGGGTGGAAGTAGTGAGGCTTGCACACGCCTGAGGATGACTTGAGCCGGGATCACGGCAAAAAGGTACAGTAAGAGAGCGAGAGCAGCCACTGGAATGCCCTTCAATAAAAGCGAAGAAAGCCGGAGGTCCATGTCCATGTTGTCGTCCGCTTCCTCGAACAGACGGAGTGGCAGTCCAATCATAACAGCCAACAGCCGAGGGAGTTCGACCGCTACGACACTTGTAGCCCAGTGTACTAGCAAAGGCAAGGCAGTAGCTTGGAAAACATAGCGGAACGGCAGAACGCGGCTGTACCAGGGGCGAGCGGAGGGAGGCGTGATGACGATGTGTACCCAAGCGGTTGACAGTTGCGTGAGCAAGACAGTAGCGATGAAGCTGCCGACGAAGTGTGGCAGGAAGGTGTAAACAGTTATAAAAGCGGCGAGAATAACTGTGGAAAATACGGTTATGAGCGCGCAAACGAGCCCGCGGAAGTAGCCTTCCCGGCCCCAAACCCAGAGAAGGCGATGTGTAGCGCGTAGGGACGAGGTGATGGGCTTTTCGTTGGCTTCCACGACCTCAAATTCGCCCGAGGGCACAGAGCCTTCTTGAGCATCGAGTGAGATGGGCGTATATTCAGGCGGTGGGTTGGGGTCTTCGATCATAGCGAGCGTTGGGAAGACGTTGTGCGCTGTATAAAAGACCTGTGTTGTTGACGGGCGGTTAGCATGATGTACAGAGAGTTATGTCCATGAGATGGCGACTTACTCCAATAGCGGGATAGATGAAAAGGAGGCCCGTGATGAAGTATATAACGAAAGGGAGTCCAGCGAGGACGGCCTCGTCATTTGAAGCTGGAGGGTTGCTGCCGCTGGAATCGTTGGCTTCCAGGCCATCCTCAATATACCTCTTGGCGAGGCTACCGCCCACGGCGGCGATGTGATGTAGCATGTTGTGTATCCGGATGCGCTTGATGATGGGGCAAAGAGACAAGAGAGAAGGCGGAAGCTGAAGGCTATGAACGTGTAGAAAGAAGGAGTGAGAATGGCCAGTTCGGAGATAAACAAACAGCACGCAAGTTATGATGTCGATGGACAAAACTTTATCCTCGGTTGCAAGACGAACAAGTGGCAAACGATGAAGTATCGGAAACAATGGAGGAAGCGAAACCACCTCGAGACAAAAGTGGAAGAAATGAAACCAGTGAAGTGGGTGGGGATGATCATCCCGTCTTATACGCAGTTAAGTCATCGATCCGCCAGGGGCTGGACTGTTGGTGGCGTGGAAGGCATCCTTGACCTAGCGTCAGACTGTCAGTCGGGCGAACCACGGGGGCGGTAGCGTGGCCTACAGCGATCCATCAGATATGCAGCATGTAACTGCCAACATCCGTCGCCCACAACTACCTGGACCTAGGTACCTACCCAGCTACCTTTAGGTAGTGTATCATCCAGCTTGAGCAGAGGCAAGAGGGTGACCTGAGCACAAGATAGGTAGAGATGGTACTGTGGGTGAACCGCGCTGAAACTGCTCTTTTAAGGACTGAACTCATATATATTTCTGTCGGCCTGCTTTGTGGCATTCCCTTCAACGAATCAACCTCTTCCAACCGCCATAAATGTCTGGTGAAGCTGATGAATCGTCAACATGCCCGGAAAGAGCGGTTGAAAATGATTGGAAATGCCCTGTCAGACACTGGAGACGCGAGCCTTCAGAAGCAATTCATCCCCACCTCCTGCCCTAACAATTCGGCAAGCGGCTGCTCGATCCACAGTAAGACGCTAACGCCAGGCAGCTCCTGCAGGCTGTACCCCGCCTGAATGTCACCCCTGCACCTGCAGCACCGTAGTGTACCATACACTACAGGTACAACAACAGGCATCTTCGGCTGTAACGACGTCAGAGCTTCCTCTCACTTCCTCTCAACACCACAGACGAGGAGCTCACCCGACATTATCTGCATCCCAACCCGAACATTATACAGAGCCAGAACAGCTTACCTCATGTCTGGAACAGCACCTTCAATACCAAACCTCCTCACCCTTCGTGGTCGCGAAGGAGGCGGCGGCGTCACCCGGGGCCGTTACCGAGGCGTCATCCACCGGGGAGGTCGCGGCCACGGTCCCGGAGCACCCAGTGCCTCAGCAGCTCACGATGCCACCATCCAGGGTACCGACACCGACGCCGCCGTCTCCCGCCTCAGCGCAGTCCAGATAGGCTATATCGACGATCCGTATGCCGAGCTATTCGCCCAGTCTGGCCCCGGTGCCGCCAGGCGACTGCCCATCATCAACCGAGGCACCTATGCCCGCACAACGGCCATCGACAAGCTTGTTGACAAGTTCCTTGACGATACCGAGAGCTCAACGGAAGGGCGACAGATTGTCTCGCTAGGCGCCGGCACTGATACTCGCAGTCTCCGATTGTTCTCCCCTTCCGCACCAACGCCGCGCAAGCGCGTCATCTACCACGAGATCGACTTCCCCGCCATGTGCGAGAAGAAGCAGCGCATCGTCTGTAGCGCACCACAGCTACGGTCTATTCTATCCGACCCGGACTCCGTGGAGGAATTGAGTCATCACGGCGGAGGAAACTCCTGGCATAGCAAGGCCGTGGCCGAAAAGCACAAAGGAAGCGAGCTCTGGGTTCACGGGCTAGATCTCCGCGCCATTGCGGCCTCGCAACAGCCTCAGCAACCACTACCGCCAGGAGTACCGATCGGTTCCAGGGGACTTCACGCTTCGCCCTTTACCACCGGTTCAACCACACAACACGAAAAGCAAACAGAGGACACAAGTCTACCTCAACAAAGAGAACCACTAACGTTAACATCCCTCAACCCGAACCTTCCCACCCTCATAATCTCTGAATGCTGCCTCTGCTATCTGCCTCCCTCAACCGCCTCCTCCATTGTGTCCTTCTTCACCACCACCATCCAATCCTCCCTGAGCATAGTCATCTACGAGCCCATCAAGCCTGATGACGCCTTCGGGAAGATGATGGTCTCGAACCTTGCTGCTCGAGAAATCAGAATGCCAACGTTGGAGGTGTACAAAGAAACAGAGGACCAGGAGAGGCGGTTACGAGAAGCCGGATTTAGTGGAGGGGAAGGAAAAGGGATAGGGGGAGCAAGGAGTAAGACGATAGAACAGATTTGGGAGGAGTGGACGAGCCAGGAGGAGAAAGAGCGGGTGGATGCACTGGAGGGACTAGATGAGGTTGAGGAGTGGAAGTTGTTGGCGGGGCATTACATTGTTGTTTGGGGATGGAGGGGGGTGGGGGTTGATTTGGAAATATGATAGACTTGGTGACCACTTGGTTATGGGGTAGTGTCACAAAGATAAGTTCAATAATTTACCATTTAATCGTGCCAAGCTGACGGCTTGCTGAGTGTGATGAATTGCCCACCTTGGAGGATTTCCTCCAAAAAGTATAGGTCAGATACCAAAGCTTGTGTCCAGCAGCTTCTAAATTTTCATCTGGTCAGACAAGTGTTCGCATCTCGCCATGTCGCCCATTTAAGGAAGAGATACAGACTTCACCTGGGATCAAGTTGTACTATCTGGCTAGCAAGAGTGTAGTTATTATTCGTTGTGACTTGGACATCATCACCTACAAAAAGCAATAGACGGGCTCATCAAGAGACGCCGTGCCAGTAATCAATCGACACCAAGTGAGGAGCAAGTGAATAGTCGGCACTGAACGAACCATCCTCCCTTCTCCCTTATTAGACTATTCACTTCAAGACCTAAACCTCTTTGCGCCGTAGTGCCTTGACTCCAACATATATATCGCCGTTCTTACTCAAACAGAAAGAAAATCGAGCCAGGTATCCCTAGCCCTTCTTAATAGCCCCCTAAAAGCCATTTGAGCATCCTCGCAGCTAAACAAAGTCGTGGCTATGTCGACCACAGGTTGTAAAAGCAAGACAAGAGCCCAGACATCCCCCGACCCAACTCAAATAATCAACAAATCCGTCCTCGGCTGCAGTCTAGTCCCATTCAACATGGCCCTCCTCTTCTTGCTCGGATCCTGCAACCTCCTAAACGCCTCATGAATATGTCTCGGCTCCACCGGCGTGCGTCCCTCCCCAGGGGGGTCGAACAAGCCCTTTGGCAGCTTACGCTTCTTAGTAGGACCCGCCTCGCCCGTACGCTCCTTGAGCAGGTCTTCATGGTCCTTGATCTTGAGCGCCTCCTCCGTGATGCTCTGCACCATCTCAAACGTTAAGAACCCCAGAATGTCGACGATATCGTCAGAGGGTTTACTATCCGTCACCTGCCCGAAGCCGGCCCATTCCCTGAACCTCTTGCCCTTGCGGTACGTAAAAGAAGCTTGGCGGAACTCGGACCAGGTTACGTACTCCTCGCGCGTCATGGCCTTGGTGCGCTCGTCGGCTTTGCGCAGGCGTTGGAGCGTGATATAATTCATTTCTTCTTCCTCCTCGTCCTCTTCGTCTTCGCGCTCGGGGACTTCAACGGAATAAAAGGAGGAGGGTTCCCAGGGCAAGCCGACTTTGGCCTTTTTGTTCTTCTTGGCTGCGTCGTCGACGGGGCCGCCTGCGCCGGGAACAATTCCCGCGGCGGCCGAAGGGTCTTCGCCTGCGGCGCCGATGTCGGCGTCACCGCCTTTGTCTTCAGAGTCTTTGACGTTCTTGCGCACGTCCTTCCAGGAGAGGAAGGTGCGCAGCCGAGAGACTTTGGGCGCGTCGTCGCGGATTTGGAAGATTAGGTCGTTGATCGTTATGGAGCGGGAGCCGCGGCGGGCGGCGAGTTCGGTGCAGTTTTTGAGCTGTGACAAAGAGTGTGAGTCGTAAGTTTTCTATCGTATATGTAGAGGGTGCGATTGGGTAGTAACGGCTTACCATATGGATGACCTGCTGGCGCACAATGTCTTCGATGATACTCGTGGTTTCAACGGATGGTTCGCCCGTCTCTCCAGAGACGTACATCATCTGACGAACATTGTTAGCAAATCTGGCAATAAACTGGTCCTTTGTCTCTGCTCTTTTCTTCCAGTAGAATTCCCAAGGGTCTTTTGGGTACGGGTTGACGAAGTCGTTGATGCCTCTACGCTCTGTTTCTGCATCACTTGAAGGGAAGATTATGTCATTGGGAATTGAAAACTTTGGTCGCTTGGCCTGATTTTCTGTATTGATCTCATCAAGGGCAGTGTTGAACGCGTCTTGGAAGAGAGCAGATCCATCTCCAACTTGGTGGACGGAGGGAGAAGTGGAAGGACCAATTGGTGTAGAAAATTCTCCCGTGAATGTATTTATCTGACTGGGCGCTGAAGGTATGATGATCTCATTATCAATCCAGTCATCCCATTCGGGATCCATTATAGTTTCATCCGGTTGAGTGGTAGGTTCTGACGGCTGATCGTGCGTGATGTCTTCAGGAATGAGTGGTTCCTCGGGAAGGTCATTGGACTCCATGTCCACGTCTATGGGCTGAAAAGTTTGATCTTGAGAGGTAAACCAGACCTCGGCGCTACTGATGGTCTTGATTCTGTCCTCGCTCGGGTGACAAGAGCTCCAGAAGGTTTCGACAACATCATTAGTACCATCTTCTGTTGAAGAACCTCCAGCCGCGGACTTGTGATCTTCGCATTGAGGCTGAGCTGTGATTTCCGGTAGCAGTACCGAGGTCTGGCCAGCCTCGTCACTTCTGGTAATGTTCTGTAACTCATTGCCAGTAGTGATCTGGGCCTGCTTCATTGTCGTCTGGGACTTGACAATGTTTTCCTGGGCCTTCTTCAACGTAGCCGGCTGGTCAAGTTGTTGGGTCTCAGAGCCTGGGCTCTCATTCGGTGCAGCCGGACAGTTTGCTAGCGAATTGAGGACGTCCGATGGTTGATACGGAGGTGATGAGCATTTGGATGAGAAAAGACGACTGGGCTCTTCAGTTGCGGAACAAAGATGCCCATTGTCGAGAACTCCAGAGAGCGACTCGAAGCTGCGATCAGCAGTGATAGAAACGTCTTTGGCTACACTTCCATGACCTGAGTCTCTCTTTCTCCTGCTCTGTACGTAGGCTGAAGTTGTGTCATCTTCTAGTTGTGTGACCTGCCCTGAATTATCGGTATCCCAAAGGGGTTCGGACCCGCTGCTGATAGACATCGAGACTGAAGATGTTGTGGACGAGTGTTGTTGCTCCTCTAAGCTACCTCCTGGGTATGTGTCTCCCTAAGACACATCGGCACGCGGGGAAGGTTCGGATCCGCTACTGATAGACATCGAGACAGATGATGGTACGGACAGTTGTTGATCATCCTCCTCCATGTAAGGGCCAGAAGAATGCTGGAAAATTGAAAGTGTCTGAGAGATGCCGGAAATAGGGGATCCAGAATGGAGGGACCCCGAATCCTGGAATGATTGCTCGGAAGAGGTCGCTAAGGCGGTCCCCGAGTGAATGACTGGGTCCGCGGACACAAGCTGTGAAGGCACGCCTGGACTGTTGGCGGAACTCTCCACAAGCTCCTTTGGAGCGCTGCCCGTAGAGGCACGACGTGTAGGGGTGTATGTTAGTGACCGCTGGCTTTCGAGAGTAGAGACCTGCTGTGGCCGTGGGCCAGAAGACCTGGTAGGAGGCCTTCCTCGCGAGATCTGAGGGGTGGTATTGCTCGCCGAACTGGTCGTCTTCGGTTTTCTTGACGGCTTGGGAGTTTGTGATGGTCTCGCCGATTGTGATCGCTGGATGCGTGTCGAACGCCGCAGAATGAGCTCTGACGGCTGTGGGGAATATAGGGCTTCCTTCGCGGCCGACGCGACAGTTCCAGAACGAAGCCTCATGGTTTCGAATTTTTGGGACTTGTTGTGAATGTGAAATCACAGGTTTAGGTCGGAGCTGCGTGGTGGTGGGTGAATGGCGAAGGAAAAGACAGCGGCTCGTGCAGAGTCGCCGTCGATTGCAAGAACGGAGGTAATAGCCGACCCACGCAAGTTGATTTTCCTTAAGGCCAGAGTGAGATTGTTTCGAGAGGGAATGAATCGAGGTTCCTGGCGTCCCTGAATACCGAAAAGACCCATTTATCACGCGACCGGTAACAAAGCAACCAGGCAACCATTGGAGCTGGCATGCAACTTTCAGTTGACTGCGGAAGGCAAGAACCACTTTTCTCTAATTGAGCATCGTCCTGTGAGCAGTGCAAAACCACCGACTTTCTGGGGATCGACGACATTCGAGACTATCCAGGTGATAGCTCGTCATCCCCACAACGATCCTTCGGGATCTCTAACCACTTTCCTGAGCTGCTTCAAACAGCGTGTAATTCAGAGATTCACATTCATAAAGCAAAAGCGTGCACGGGTACAAAGCGACGGGATGAGGATGCCAAAGTACAAGATATAAACAGAGAGCATTCATAAAGTGTGCCGAACACTTGTCAGGGCACTTTGCCTGCGAAACACGATTGTGGTTTTGCGTGCAAGGTGAGTTACTAACCTGCTGGATTTCCTGGCGGTATTTGTACTGTTTATCCTTGTCCTTGTCCGCCATCTTGACTGATATTAAAGGGCGATTGTCTGATCAAGTCGTCTATAAGTTGCCTTGTAAGAGAAGCGGTAACAATGATCGAGGAGACAAAAGACCACGCGTGCGATTCTGAGCGGAGTTGAAATAGAATCGTCGGAGCAAAAAACAAAGTATTGGAATATCAGGATTAGTGACACAAATGACAAGGAGAAGTCAGGAAGGAGTTGAGGTGGGGAGGATGGAACTGGAGTTCAAAAGTAGGCCGTTGTAAGAGAAGAAGCTGCGAGAGTTGATGTCCGGTTGTTCGGCGGACGTCGTTGAAGTGCCGGCAACCAGCAGGGTTCCCGGTACATACTGTCACGTGATGCACATGCGCTGCAGAACGTTCTTGGACCGGGCCTGCGTCGATGGCAGTTCAGAAGAAACAGTAGTCGCGTTTGATGTCTCATCTTCTGAGACAATCGACTGGAATCATGAAGCTGGGTCCAGTGAATCACCTGCGAGACGTATCGTGGTGAAGTTGGTTGAACTCGAAATCGAGTACAGGGCACTGAAAAGTGGTCAGGAGGTGGAATCGCGAATGCAACATGAAGTAAGTACATCTACATGCTATGATACCTATTTCACAAAGGCTTGCAAGTACTCTCCACTTTCCCTTATGCATCCGGTCCACTGAGCAAGGACCCGTTTCTCGCGACAGCCAATGGCCCTGTCGATCCGCATACGGTCCCACCATCTACCCCACACAAGCTGTGGTGCTCCCGTCGTCCCGTCTCCTCCAACTCGACGACAACCTCGCAAGCTGCCTGAAAGCCATCATATCTTTGACTTCATTATCTGTCCTTGACCAGCCGCTCAAAGTTGGATCGCTCACCTAGTCAAAGTCATTGTTTTTCACAGCAAGCACCCTCAAACCACCCTAAACACATCAAGAATGCCTCCCGCAGGAGCTGCCTTTGTGGTACGTCATCCTAGCTCCACCTCAAGTTATGCCACGACATGTGACGTCTACATGGACGATGAAGCTCACTCTGAACACAGGCCAAACTCAAAGTTCAGCTGAAACTGGCTATTGCCAGATTGCGCATGGTCCAGAAACGAGATGAAGCCCTCGCCAAGACTCAGCGACGGGCTATGGCGCAGTTGCTTGATGTTGGCAAGGAGGACTCGGCCCGCATCCGTGTTGAAAACATCATCCGGTCAGACATCACCACCGAGCTTCACGAGATCCTGGAGCTCTACTGCGAACTTTTGCTTGCCCGCGCCGGTCTGTTGGAGGCGCCCACTTGCGATCCTGGTCTCGAGGAGGCCGTCAAGAGCATCATCTACGCCGCACCCAAGACCGAAATTAAGGAGCTCCACCAAGTACGGACGCTGCTCGCGGAGAAGTTTGGTAAGGAGTTTGCGCTGCAGGCGGTGGAAAACTCGGATGGCAAAGTGTCGGAGAAGGTAGTCAAGAAGCTCAGCGTGACGCCACCGCGGGAAGAGCTTGTTGTTGGCTATCTGGAGGAGATCGCAAAGGTGTATGGCGTGAACTGGCCAAAGAAGAAGGCAAACTTGGGCGAGCCGCCTGATTTCATGGACGAGGATGAGAGCCCGAGCGGTGGGCAGGCTCAGAAGAACCTCGAGGTACCTTTAAAGGCGGAAGATAAGGAGGCGGAGGCTCAGGAGGAGCTCAGCAAGGCAACACCACCAGTGTCCTTCGGACCTGCGAGCCCACTACATGTTAACCCACCACCGCCGTCAACCGACAATATCCATCCCAAAGTCACCCTGAACCACCAGCAACTACAATCAAAGCAATCTCCAGCGGGTGGTGGAGTTGTGAAGAAGGCACCTGCGAAAGGGAGTATCGCGGACGGCATTCCTGACGTGGACGAGCTGGCTAAGCGGTTTGCGGCTTTGAAGAAGTAGCAGGGTTTTGCCATAATATGGACTTTTTCAAGCGATTTGAGCTTTTGCAGAACCAAACTACGAAAGTATGGGAGCGAATTTTTGCAGCGGTATTTGTTGGCCCATGACTTTTCAAGCGAATCATCATCAATTCGAATATTCTCGTACCTCGGCTACTCGCTTGGTGTTGACTGACCCGTTGGATACCGCGTTGCTATTGGCATATGGCAAGCTTCTTCTGATTCTTGAATTACCAAAACTCCCCCAACCACCATACACCTAATTAGTTCTTTTGAGGGTATATGGATCACTTCCCATGTCGATATTTCCGTGGCAGGCTGGTAGAGGTAGGATGACGCAACCCTCATGGCTGTGTCTTCCCCCTTCTCTTCACTCCTGCCTTCGACTGCTGTAAACGAGGCAGATGTGATGGAAGGCCCCCGTCTGTCGACCACGCCAGAGGTGAAGTCATCTGGCAAAGCTAGCGAGGGTAGCTCCTGCCTTGTTCGCTGGATCCCCGCCGTGAAATTGATGGGCGTTTGCTCTTTCCTTTCATCTCAACTTGTGTCCCTTGATTTCACACCTGATGCCAGTTGCCTGCCCTGGTCCTGATACCCTTGAATATTACAGCACCAAAGTATCGATGCAGCCCAAATCAGTTGATTCCTTTGACCTTCCACAATTCCAACATCTCGCTGAGGTTGTTCATCAAGATATTCCAAGTAACAAGCGGATATCACGAGGCTTTCAAGGAAACTTGCTCCCATTGGTATCGTGTCCCTCCCACCTGGTCACGGGTGGGAAAACGAGCCAGAGCCACGGTCGCGTCATTCACCCTCACGTAAACCTGGGAAATAGCTTGTTGAGGGGTACTCCTACTGTCAACCAATCCTGCTTCTCTTTTACATATTCAAATTGATGCAACTCAATCATCTACCCGCAGCAATTCTCTCGGATCACGCATTTTTGTATGTTTAGCAAAACAACTGTGCTGTCAACAGAAAACCATCCATCTCATGAAGGACTTGACGCTGATAGCCGCATGTACCGCAGACTTTGATAGCAGGCATCTCGCCACCGAGTCGCAACGCGGCTAAAAGCGTCCAGAAACCAGCCAGCATTCCCCGTTTGGACAGGAAACTCACCATATCTGGCCAACAACCTGAAGAAAGCGCCTGATAGGGTTCATTTGATACTCGCGACCAAGAGCTAGCATCTCCAATGCACTACCCTACCATCGACGATGGAATATAAAGAGGAGATGACAGCCTTTGTCGGGCGGCTGGGTGTTCGAACACTCGGCCAACTCTCCCTGAAGGAGCTCGCTGTGCGTCTGGATACCGGGCCAGAACCGACAACGGAGAGAGAACGGCTCTACGCCTTCATGACATGGCTCAGTGACCATCTCCTGGAACTTGACAGCTCCGATGAGAGATCGTTTAGCCACGAAATTGCAAAATGGTGCTTCTTTCTCAAGGACGCCGGCTATGATAGTACCAATGTGGTCGGAACCTTCGAAGAGTGGCTCCATGAACACAGTCACGCTGAGCCACTAAGTGCGAGGCGGCTCTCTTTGGCGGAGCTTGAGATCAAGAAGTTTTACGATATTCCCACGAAGGCACCCCGCCTTGTCCCAACAGACGAACCTTGTCAGCCGTCGCCTCCACCGGAGAAGACTCTGCAGCAGTTTCCCTCAATAAATGAGGCGTCCGAAGCGCATCCTGTCGCTGGTTTTGGACAGATCCACCCCGACCGCCTCAAGCTGTCCAGATACGGTGACAATAAACATGAGGAAGGCGAAGTCATTGATGTAGATGACTGGCAACGTCCCGTCGTTGCCATCAGCTCCGATGAGGACGTAGATCCTCAAACAAAGAACACTATGTCCTTCCTCACCGGAGCGAACCGAATGGTCTTTGGTGAGGATGAAGCCATCATGACCACTGACCTTCAGGGAAAGAAGAAGAAAACGAAGAAAGCGAAGAAAAGCAGGGCACAGACGATGCAGTCAGGGCCTACTTCGATTCAAACCCAAGAGAAGAACAAGACTTCCTGTGGTCGTTGCGGTGTCCCTGGTATGTAGAGAACCTCTATGCGAGATTCAGCCATGCTGACTGTACTTCGATTACAGGACATTACCATATGCAATGCCCAACAAACCTCGATCCGTCGTTTGACAAGAGTCCGCCCGACGAGTACAAATGTAACTTTTGCAACAGATACGGTGACCACTATGCCACAGTCTGTAACAGGAACATGAACCCTACATCGCTCACTCAGCAGAGAAAGCGATTTGCAGAACGAGGTCGTCAATTCCACCCCAGCAGAGGTCGGAGTAGATCACCATTGAGGGGGCCGAACGATAAACGTCACATTGGAAGGGAAAGATCACCATACAGGGTGCCCAGAGACAGACATCACTACGATAGGGAAAGTTCACCCTACAGGGAGTCAGAAACCAGACATCACGTCGATAGCGATCGGTCGAGAGAGAGGAGAAGGTCTCGGGAGAGATACAGAAGAAGGCGTAGTAGATCCAGATCCAGGTCTCCTTCTCCTCCCCGGCAGGCTCTACCGAGAAGAGACAACCCCCAGGCCATTAGGGAGCATCGATTCAAACACCCGTATCGCCAACCGAGCTTTCAGAAACTAGAGCCATCTTCTCCGCCTCAGTCAAGGGCCCTAGACTACGGCGATACCTTCGAACATATGCCCGATGCGCCCTATCGACCTTTGAGTTCACGGCCCACGGAAGTTAAAATTCGAGGGCGAGGAAGTTCTCTCTACTACGATGACAATGTAAAGGGAGCTATGCCAGCTTCTGTCTACGGAAATGAGGACCTGATGTCCCGCAAGACGCATCAGCCACAAATGCCGGCGCCTCATCAGGACGATTACGTTTATCGCCCAACATTGTATAAAGGATCTTTCATCACTGAGCTGACAGATTTGATCGCCAGCACCACCGTCTCGCCTCTGGCACGAGCTCCTATGAAGAGTAGGCTGCCAGAGGTGTTCAAAAATGACTTGCGGCAGTCTTCTGGATCGTGGGTAATCGAGCCGACCATTATTAACACTACTTTGGTTAAACCGGAGTTAGTTCCAAATATTGTGCGGGAGTCTTCACCCCCCGTTGAGCTGGGTGTTACGGAGAAGAGACTTGACGGTCGTCATGGTACTCGGTATCATCCAGCCATCTTGGAGCTGTTCAAGAACCGGAAGAATGTCTGGATTAACAAGATTGACAAAGCTATGCGCAGCCAAGCGTCTAGTTTTTTCTGGGACACAGATCCCAAGGACCTGGAGGAGGAACTGGATGTTTCAGCTGATACTAACGCTGAATCGGCCAGTGACACAGTCATGACGGAAGCCGAGCCCGTTGGTACGGCCATTGATGAGGCTAATAGTGAAGCTACGCCTGTTGCGTTGTTGACTGATGGCCCCCGACGTGTCGATTCCACGCCGGCTATCGATGTCGTGATGGAGAATCATACTGAAATGCAGATTCTCTATCGCGATGAAGACGGAGTTCAAACTCATCACCCTTGCGGAGACGGTCGGGTTGGCTTCAAGCCACCTGTCGATGCTGCAATGGAGGATGATGAGCCTCTTGGATTCTCTGCGGCTGTTGACGTCTCTGCAATTGTCGATGAAGTGATCGCTGAAGTGGCGGCAAAGACTACCTCCGGGTCGGTTGAGAAGGAGTCACCTTCTATTGTGGCCACGACTCGCTCGGAGACCCTCAGTTTGCCTAAGACAATCAACTTGACTTCGGCTGAGAGCGCTCACATCGTCCGCAAAGTCAAGCCTGGGCACGGGGTCACAGTAAATGACCATGACAATTGCACGCCAATGGAGGGCGCAGAGGAGGTTGGAGACAGTAGCAAATCTGAGACGGCCATCAAAGACGTGATAAACGTTGAAGCGGACCTTGAACCTGTTGAGATGAAGATTTCTCAGCCTGAAGATCAAGTGGACGTCACAGTCTTCGAGGGGTCGAAGGCGCAGTAGTGTCTGCACTTGACCCCAGACCAGTCTGTCGACAAGTTGACAAGATATGCTACGGACTTACTTGGATCATGGCGTCAAGTACCTCTTACGGTCTCGTTTCACGATTCGATACAGATTGCAAGCGAGCAAACAGTTATTTAGAATTGAAACATCCCTTTGGTGCATGTCCAAGTCGATGAACGTCTCTCCATGGTCAAGTTAAATTCTGCAACCATTTTGGTGGCAACGGTAGATAGATAACCGATTCTGCGGCTCAGGGTTCACGTCATGGCGAGCACCACACAGCAGTGCCAAGACTCGCCATTGACGCTCGCTTCGTTGCTGAACTGCAGAGACGGTTCAGTTATCTGCCACTGACGAAAACTTGATGCTTTGGAAGAGAACATCGAAAGCTTTCAAGGCAGAGACGTGAAGGAACATTAGTATTTCATAGAGCAATGCGTTTCGGATCTCGCGACGCGGTGTCTTTGTAAGATTAGTTGATCGATTACTCTAAGTATAAGCTCAGAAGCCCTGATATATAAGGGGCTGTTGGTGTGGTAGAATAGGCAGCTTGCTTGCTCAGTGTTTGCTGAACAATTTCCTGCCCTTTATGTGTGATATGGGTATATGTAACCACCTCTTCGCATCCTTCTCTCCTGCCATCCCTTTTCAATGCTTGGATAGTCGGTGATCATTTCTTACTGGAAGTGTCGACGGCAAAGGTTGACGTCTACTAGCCCAAGGCGTTCCCGTCCGAGGGTCGTGGTCATGTAGAGTCCAGTCAGCTCAGCCCTGTGTTGATGGGGTCGAGGGTCTGGATCGTTCGAACGGTTCGGCAGAAGGTCAGACCTCGTTATGTACTGCACCCGTATGCTCGGCTGGAATTGCCGAGAGCCGTCCGAGCGCGCAAGTCAGTATTCGTCCTCGTCCATCCCAAGCCCCTGGTTGATATTTTCGTTGTCGGTCGGCCGGTCGGTCGGTCGCGGTCCGTCAGTCAGCCGGCCCCCCTTATCCGCATTCATCCACCCCCCTTGGCTCCTAGCCCCTTATCCGTTTCGCCCTTTTCTTCCCTTCCAACGCCGTATTTCCTCCTGTCATCATTCCAGCTTATCCAAATGCTCCAACCTCGTCAGCACAACCTGTTTACTCGTCTCCTCAATCTCGCCCGCCAAGAAGACCTCGTCCAGGATGGCGTACACCTTGTAAAAGTTGAAGACCAAGTCCAGCTCGCAGACGTTGCCGAAGAAGCTGTCCAGCACTTCGACAAAGAAATGGATGGCCTCCAAATAGGCTAGCTCGTTGTCGTTCGTGTCGACGCAGGCGCAAAAGAACAGGCCCGCGTATCGTCGGTACACGACCTTGTGGTTGCGGAACTCGACAAAGTTGGATTGGTATTTTTGGTCGCGGGGGGCTACTAGGCGGTGGATCTGGGGGGTGTGAAGAATTTAGAAGGGGAGGTTAAGTAAGGGGGAAGGGAAGAGGGGGGGGGGGGGGG